AAATAATTACACGCTATCCAGTTTTAGTTGGTTCAGAGGTAGAGCTGACCTTGGATGTCCACAACTCCAATGTCGGACTAACCTTGTGTCATGTGACTGTTTTACCGTTATATATTTAAACATATATTTCTCATATGACGAATCATAACCAGTGTCAAATATATCATATGTGCACATGTGCACATATCACTATTGCCTAGCAACCATTGTTTCTGTATTTCGTCGTCTGTGACGTCATTAAACAATTGAACGTAACGTCAATGAAGAGGGCCGTCACACTTTCTTTTCTTTACTGCAAAAATGAACATGAATAAAATGGATAATAAAGAAATTATTACACACGAGCCCTCGCTCGGGCAATACAAAATTTCACACTCGTTTCGTATAAGTCGTATGCCACACTTGCTCGTGTTATAATCTCTACACATGGTATTCAGTTATATGCAGTTCCAGTGTCGTGCACTTTTGCTTTATTGGTCATTCTGTACAAGCAGCTGTATGAATAAATAAAATGTAGCATACATATCAATTGTTTACTTTTTATACAGAACCGTTGACAGATTGTTTAGAACCTATCAAAGAACTGAACTACACATACATTTCATGAGACTTGTTGACGACAACGTGGGAGAAAGGTGGACCGATAGTGCAGAGTAAACGCCAGAGAATAACCAGTCTGTATTATCTGCCCCTACCGCTTCCACTGGGCGTAAAAGCCCAAATAGTGATGACTAAATGAAGTTTAAGTACAAGAAACGCACTTTCTTAGCTGTGTCCCGGCAGAAATATATCCCAGAACAGGAGACAGGGGGTCGAACCCTAATGTATGGTTGCACAACAGGAGAGGGCAAGCTGGGATCTGATGATCGTATGAAAGATGAGAAAGATACCCCGAGTTGCTAAACTCACGAACCAGAAATATTGACCCGACCAAACACATATCCCCGAAGTGAGTAATGACGACAAATACGTTCATAAAGAACACTTAAATACTGAAACTGTTTGTGACGAACATATATATGATCTACTTATGCATAACGGAACCAATACGTAAATGACGAATACGTATATGATAAACACGTACATGGCGAAAACGTAAAAATACGTTATTAATTATTACATATATAATCACTGACTGACTGAGTTTGGTTTTACGCCGCTTTTTAGCAATATTCCAGCAACATCACGGCGGGGACACCAGAAATGGGCTTCACACATTGTGCCCATGTGGGGATTCAACCCGGGTCTTCGGCGTGTCGAGCCAACGTTTTAACAATCAGGCTACCCCACGCCCCACATATATAATGAATACGTACATGACGGAAACACACATTACAAGGACGCCTATACGTATTTGAAAAAATACGGACAGATTAAATACGTGAGTAATGAATACGTATATGATACAGCACGTACATGGCTAATACGTATATAAAAATACGTTATTAATGATTACATATATAGTGAATACATATATGATGGAACACACACATTACAGGGACGCCTATACGTATATAAAAAAACCGAACGGATTAAATACGTAAGTATTGAATACGTATACGATGAATACGTACAAATATGATGAGCACGTATAAACTGAATACGTTTATGATGAATATTATGTATTTGATGAACACATACTTATTCAAGAGGTACAAGGTAAATATGCACATAACGAACACCAACGTGACGAAGCCGTAAATAAAGAAACCGTGTTTGAGCAACGCGTACAAAGTGAACACATACATGACGAAAGATAGGATAACACGTACCTAACGAACACGCACTGTATCTTTATGCGTACATCTAGATATAAAACACAAGAAGCGGTCTCACTGGTCTCCTTAATTTCAAGTTCGGGTGGGTAAATCAGTGGGAGGGAATTGCCTGTTTGATGTTTATTGAACGATATCTGATTATCGATATACCCGATCCTCCGTAATATTGTCGTGTTTTTACTTTGCATATCCGAGCTGATATTCCTTCATAAGGTTACGTCTTGTCCAAATGCCTTAGCCCCAGATTTTACGTCCATTGTTTTCTCAGTGAACTTCAGGATTCTATTCGCTTTCATATTTCAGAAAGTGTCCTGGACTGTATAACATAATGAACATGTACAAAACGACCACTTTCTGTATAACACAATGAACATGTATAAACGACCACTTACTGTATAACACAATGAACATGCACAAAACGACCACTTTCTGTGCTATAACACAATGAACATGCACAAACGACCACTTACTGTATAACACAATGAACATGCACAAAACGACCACTTACTGTATAACACAATGAACATGCACAAAACGACCACTTTCTGTATAACACAATGAACATGTACAAAACGACCACTTACTGTATAACACAATGAACATGCACAAAACGAACACTTACTGTATAACACAATGAACATGCACAAAACGAACACTTACTGTATAACACAATGAACATGCACAAAACGAACACTTACTGTATAACACAATGAACATGTACAAAACGATCACTTACTGTATAACACAATGAACATGTACAAAACGACCACTTACTGTATAACACAATGAACATGCACAAAACGACCACTTTCTGAACACTTACTGTATAACACAATGAACATGCACAAAACGAACACTTTCTGTATAACACAATGAACATGTACAAAACGACCACTTACTGTATAACACAATGAACATGCACAAAACGAACACTTACTGTATAACACAATGAACATGTACAAAACGACCACTTACTGTATAACACAATGAACATGTACAAAACGAACACTTACTGTATTACACAATGAACATGCACAAAACGAACACTTACTGTATAACACAATGAACATGCTCAAAACGACCACTTACTGTATAACACTAATGAACATGCATAAACGACCTCTTACTGTATAACACAATGGACATGCACAAAACGGACACTTACTGAATAACACAATGAACATGAACAAAACGAACACTTACTGTATAACACAATGAACATGTACAAAACGATCACTTACTGTATAACACAATGAACATGCACAAAACGAACACTTACTGTATAACACAATGAACATGCACAAAACGAACACTTACTGTATAACACAATGAACATGTACAAAACGATCACTTACTGTATAACACAATGAACATGCACAAAACGACCACTTACTGTATAACACAATGAACATGCACAAAACGAACACTTACTGTATAACACAATGAACATGCACAAAACGAACACTTACTGTATAACACAATGAACATGCACAAAACGAACACTTACTGTATAACACAATGAACATGCACAAAACGACCACTTACTGTATAACACAATGAACATGCACAAAACGAACACTTACTGTATAACACAATGAACATGCACAAAACGAACACTTACTGTATAACACAATGAACATGTACAAAACGAACACTTACTGTATAACACAATGAACATGCACAAAACGAACACTTACTGTATAACACAATGAACATGTACAAAACGATCACTTACTGTATAACACAATGAACATGTACAAAACGAACACTTACTGTATAACACAATGAACATGTACAAAACGAACACTTACTGTATAACACAATGAATATGTACAAAACGACCACTTACTGTATAACACAATGAACATGCATAAACGACCACTTACTGTATAACACAATGGACATGCACAAAACGACCACTTACTGTCTAACACAATGAACATGTGAACATGCCAAAACGACCACTTTCTGTATAACACAATGAAGATGTACAAAACGACCACTTTCTGTATAACACAATGAACATGCAAAAGACCACTTACTGTATAACACAATGAACATGTACAAAACGAACACTTACTGTATAACACAATGAACATGCACAAAACGACCACTTACTGTATAACACAATGAACATGTACAAAACGAACACTTACTGTATAACACAATGAACATGCACAAAACGACCACTTACTGTATAACACAACGAACATGCATAAAACGAACACTTACTGTATAACACAACGAACATGCATAAAACGAACACTTACATAATGATATCGATGAGATATGTAACGACTGTTCTGACGATCGCATGTATCAGACCACGTAATGGATATAGAAAACACAATATAATAAAGAACGATATCAGAAATTGATAACAAACAAATCAAAGCTAACTAATGATGCCAAACGGTATTCAGTACGATTATGTCACGCAAATATAGCCAGAACAAGCACATGCTACAGATAAGTTGTCGTTAAGTTGGATTCCTATTCATATTTTTCACTTACAAACCAGGTAACCATTCCATTGTACTCTTCACACTGCGATTGCCTCAAGTTAAAGTATGAAAGTTACGACCATCTTAGCGCTTCGGTCGCTTTGTAGAAGAGGATGCTGTTGTAACTATTTTAAAATAAATTACCTTAAACGTCACTTTTTGTTTCAAGTATATAGTAATAAATTGAGTTTTCGAGTTTGGTTGTGTATTGCTATATTGCCTCTAAAATCGACTAAGTGCTAATACTAATAATAATTTCCTCGAGAGGAAGCTTGTTACGCATCCATTGTCAATATAATGACAATATAATGACAATATAATGACAACGCCATGGGCTGAGGATGATTAGCGGCACAAATTGTTTGGTTCGTCCAGCCGTGTATTATGCTGACAGGAATCTCATGTCGGTGTGCCGATCAGTTTACATGCATTCTACAGCATGTTATTAACGTTACCATAAAGTCTTATGTAATAAGGCACTTAGAGACGCGTGGTTCTATCTGCGCGCTCCGTGCCCTACTCTGTGATGCAGGGGGTGGGGGTCTGGGTGACGCAATAGGTCTGGGATCCCTGGGGACACATGGCCACTCATAACTACCTGGGGGAGGGTGCATGCTGGAAGGGTGGGGGAGTAGTGGTCATCACTGGGTATATAGGCAGACTGATCGCTCCTCTCACCACAAACTTCTGCTGGACAAGACAACAGTCTGATCTACACATTCCCAACTTCCGCCATGGTAAGTCTTCTTCTCGCGGATCGCTGCTTCAGCTTAAACGCCTTTAGTTCCCCGATAACTATACTAGTTTTGTTGAATGCAGCTTGATTGGTTTTCTTTTTGTAATCTGGACTAATTTAAATTTTAATGATACGTATATTCCGCAGTCGTGGTTCATGACTTGTGCAGAGCGTGTAGACATGATAGAGGACACATAGCGAAGGACGTCATCATGTTATCCCGTACAGTACCACAGTATTGATACTATATTGCAGGAAGCATATTTCTGGTGTCCCCCGACGTCATATTGCTGGAGTATTGCTAAAACGGCGTTAAAACAAAGTTCACTCACTCACACTCTAGTATTGATGTAAATATTGGACCTGTTGTTCTGGACATGGTCGCATTCTGAATCATCTGTTGTAAAACCAGTTTTCACTGTATACATTCAAAAGCGACTGAAAAAGATTTTGCATTTCTGGTGAAAGGATATGGGATGATATTTAAACAGAAAAGTATTAAAGATAGACGCATTCCACAAGAGAGATCAAAAGTCAGTTCTATGCTGTGATTTCCCTTTGTAGAATGTCGAGACGTGTGTTCCTTGTATTTGCGTAACCTTCAATGATAAGCCGACTACTAGATATATACACATCAGGCATACTGGCGTTTTGTGTATGTGTGGTATTGTAATTCTTATGAAACAAATACAGTTTCCTTCAATGAGTGTATGGACCCATGATATGGCTTTCAGGAGTGGTGAGGTAGCCCAGTGGTTAAAGCATTTTCTCTTTTCACCGAGAACCCATGTTCGATTCTCCATATAGGCTGCAAGAGTTGTATGATCCCCAGGGAGTTGAGATTGATAACACGATGTGCCGTTGAGACTGACACCCAATGATCGAGGGAAAAAATACCAGTGCATTGAGCATGTACTAGTTGCCTGGATATGTGCGCTATATAAATATCATATAATAATAGGTAAATCGATATCCACTTATTGTGTCGCTCGATTTATTCCTGAAATATTGCTGAAAGCTGTGTTAATCAACGCACAGTCTATATCCTTTTTAATTCTGTATTCTTCCATTCCGTCTTCAGTGGGCTCTTGGTTGTACCATGGACTGTTGGCTAACACAAATATCTACTCACTGAGTCACTAGCGTATAGTTCAGCGATTCACAAACCAGATTCTGTCAAATAATCAAGTTACATGGTTATCACTGACAGTAGAAGAGAGTCCGATTGGGCATACGAGTCTAATGCTGATAATAATTGATGGCTTACTATAAAGATGTGCAAACCACATATGTATAAATAACGTATACAAATGTGAACATGATATGGTGAATTTTTCTTTATGTGTGTCGTTGTCTGACCAAGAATACTTTGCTGCACCGTACGATTATGCCATTTGTGATTTCTTGTCTGGCTTTTGAAAGATATGTAGAGTTTTGACACACATTAGTTTTAAACTTGAAACACCTCATGAAATGATTTCACGCTAATTTTCTAAGCTTGTTTTTGAATAGTAGGGGTTTTAGCGCACGAATTTGGCTTGGGATCAAATCCAATTCGTTTTGATGGCTTATGTATTGGGATGTCGTTCATTTGAACATTAACAGACATATCTCTTAAATCGTACAACTTTTTGTCTGTACCTCCAGAGATCTAAATATCTAATTATGAATAATTATTTTCAGCCTCAACTATCAAAGGACGAAATCGAGGAGGTCACAGAGGTGTTCGACCTTTTCGATTTCTGGGATGGTCGTGATGGCGCCGTCGACGCTGCCAAGACCGGCGACATGTTGTACTGTCTGGGCCTCAACCCTACCATGACCACCATCATGAAGAACGGAGGTGTGGAGAAGTTTGGAGAGAAGAACTACAAACTGGAGGAGTTCCTGCCCATCTACCAGACCGTCATGCAGATCAAGGACACAGGCACCTACGCCGACTTCATGGAGGCTTTCAAGACATTCGACAGAGAGGGTCAGGGCTTCATCTCATCTGCTGAGTTGAGGCACGTTCTGACATCTCTGGGAGACCGACTGACTGACACCCAGATGGACGACATCATCAAGTGCACCGACTTGAGAGAGGATCTGGAGGGCAACGTCAAGTACGAGGACTTCATCTCCAAGGTCATGGCCGGACCCTACCCAGACAAATAGACATTTAACACCCAGGACAAGTAAAAACTCTCTTATGATATATGGCTATGTTTTCATGTTAGCTAAGACAAGAAACTGAACGCCAATGCCAAAAAGCAGAATTCAAAAGCAAATCTCAGTTCTTCTTCATAGAAATTTGCATTGTCCACAATCAATGTATCAAAGATACATAATACAGGATGAAAAGTAAATAACCATTGTACTTTGATAGTATACATCTTATGAAAGGGCCTTTGTCAAAGGCCAAATAACTGTACAGATATCTTAACTGCTTCTTACGGACAATTCCTGCCATCTCAAAATACAGCCTGGTGTTTTGTAAACTACATGACTTGAAAGTTAGAATGACAGTGACAATAAAAACCCACGAGCTTACAATGTATTTTGTTCTTTGTAGTAAGCGATCAATCTGAAGAAATATTTCATTCTGGCTGTTTCTTGTCAAGATGATAGTAAATAAGAGATACATTTTGTGCACTAATTATGGGTCATCTGCGTCACGTGTACCACCTGTCCTAACGTTTATACTGTAGAGCTAGGACAGGTGTGCAGTAATACAATCAGTTCATGGTAGACATGTGTAGAACATTTCCAAATTTAACACATCAGTGATAGACATTATATCTGACACCAATTCTTTTTGCTTAGGTTCTCATTGTGAACCGTTTTCTTTTTCTTAGGTGACAAATTGTTTAGCCCTTATATGTGTTCACTTTTTCGTGAACATGTGATCTCATCACTTGACTCTCATGCTTGTTATAAAATTGTACAAAGATGTCTGTTTTGAGTAGATATATCTGATGAGTACTGTAAGGGTGTAGCTGCCTGGATTTCGGTAGTGACCATGTATTTATCCTACCTACTCCATTATTCAAACTCAGTGTGAGGTTAATGCTTATCCTAACAGGGTGTTGTTTTGAGACCACTGAGAAATAGTGTGATCTACTTAGCTGTTAGCATATTTTATGTTAACACTATAACCACTACCAGGGCTAAGTTTGATTCTAGTAGACCAGTCGAGGTGTCCTCTCTTAAGATGGTGCAGTGATACTGGTAACAAATCCTTGGTATTACGGTTACCCCTGACACTATCCAACCATCAAATCAGATTGGACTTCATCAAGAATGTGTAAAGGACGTCGTCGTGTACTGCTGTGGGACGTTGACAACATCACCTACCGCCTATGTCAACTGTGTCAGGTGAGGTTCCACGATCTTCTGGAGTGATTGTGACTGATCCACCACTATGTCGCCTCCAACGTCCAATGACGTCTCTTTATGCAGATAATCGAGACTGGTGATTCCCCGGCGTTGACGGTTTCAATGTGTCTACGTGATGACAGGTGTCACATACAGGTAACAGGACTCCCTTCTAGAGAACAGGTAACCAAGGTAACTGACCAACTAATCAACAAGCAAGGGATGAACTTGGGAGAGGTGATGTTCAAGCGATGAATCATCTGTAGCATGGTGAAGGAATACATGGACGTATGTTGATTCCTATTTTTAAAAACTTTATCGATTCAAATTTTTATGCTGTATCCATCTCCTTCAAAGTCTTGATAGTAAAATTATACGAGACCGCTCCGTTAAATAGATGTAGCTAGCTATGCTTAAAAATAGGGAGGTGATGGCGGATGAGGTAAGTACCCTATTGATATGTGTGTATTACCTTAATCTGCGATTTGGTTATGTAATAGACAGCGCTATTGATACGATAATTGATAATACGCTATTGATCAGATACACCTGGTGTCACTTCGCGATAAACATTCAGATCAGGTCGCCAAGCAGGAACTACTTTCTCAACTACCTACGTCATCGCGACGATGCCGTCTTTCTCAATATACTTTTTACTACCGTTCTAGATATTCTGTGCTGGGGTTTCTCAAACATGGTTGCATGTCAGTGGCTCCGAATGAATCAAAGATTGTATAAATATGTGTTAAAGCTAAATCTTTGAGTGAAATTACATCTTAAACATCGATCTTTGATAAAAATATTATTACCTTCGAGTGTTTTTGTGTGGTAATACGTTTTGTTCCAGATCTCAATTACCCGGACACTTGTCTTTATAAACGAGTTTTCGAGTATCCGAATTCCTAGCCAACTGACTAGAGTTACCTCCCCTCTTTTAAATTGCTATGGAGGATTAAACATAAGATTTTTTCAAATATTTCGACCAGTAAAAAACTACTAGCTATCATCGAATTCAGGTGAACAAACACGTGGTAATACACTTGGCCAATGAAAAATGATATGATGATTTACTATTCAAACTGTATTTTGGCTCTGGTAAACCTAGTTTTATATTCGGGGAGAGAGATTAGTAGATTACCGTGTGTATTCTCTCGTAAACTTGGCAAGAAATAACAATCACGCATTTTTCCCAGTTCTTCGAGAGATACCTTTAAAAGGCTTTAGAATACTGACTGACTGACTGAGTTTGGTTTTACGCCGCTTTTAGCAATATTCCAGCAACATCACGGCGGGGACACCAGAAATGGGATTCGAACCCGGGTCTTCGGCGTGACGAGCGAACACTTTAACCATTAGGCTACCCCACCGCCCCTCTTTAGAATACAACTTCAAAAAAATAATTATCCAATGATCTGAAGAAATTGTATCTGTTTCTATAATTGCAAAAACAGACATCGTCAAGCGGAGCCTCTTTGCAGGAAATGGTTTACATTGAATAATTTTGTACTGTTGGTGATTAAAATTCACTATCCGGACCCCGGATTTTCTGATAAATGTAGCACATAAACAGCATCCGGTAGGGCTGTTCCTAACAGAATAGGGGATCGTATGTAATTTTTAAAACTCAAAGTACCATGACCTTGGTATAATCGTACATAATTCACACGAAATCAAGAAAGCAATTTAAGCTAGAAATGACGATCCATGAAATATTTCAGGAAATTGGTCATCTCATACAATGCATCGTTGGTTTATATTGTTAGTGTATGGAGGCGCGGTGCACCAGTGAGGCTTACCATCAGGTTATATAAAATTCAGATTAGTCTTTCATTTCCGGTACAGCTAAATCCAACGTATATAATTCGTATACAATTCATTATAACATGGACGGAGCTAATTTGCTTAGAAAATCAAGGAAAACGGAAATATTTTCAAATAGATTTGGGATGATTTTCAATTTTTAAATGTATAAACCGAAAACTGTAGTCCAGATGTGTGTTGATTGGGTGATATGAGCAATGCTTGTATTGCAGTATTGCTCTGATGACCATGTCATTGATGTATCGTGTCTATAGTTTCTGCGTATTTATGGAGAGATAAGCCATGTGAAATTATCATTTTCGCTGTTTGTATTTATACGAATTGCCTGTAATATGTTTTTCAGATTATGAAGGTTATAAACATTTATATCCTGTGTGCACATCTTGCGATGATTCACATAGTGTACGCACCTGCTCTTTATGTTTACATCCCCATAAAGACAAACATAATGAAGTAAATTCTTCAATATTCGCACCGAGGGACCCCACAGTCCCAGATTAGCGTACACACAGGCGCCTGGAGGGGCAGTAACGAAGCCCACATCTGTTATACAAACGCGGATGAATTAGGCGGTGAGGTGGTAAGTAATGAGGACTATTTACACCCTGATTCATCCACCATAAACAACACGCACTGTGTCTCGGCTGGCCATGTCCATAGTTGGTGCTTCAAGCACACGAACACTAGCTGTCCTGAAAATCACACTGACCCATGGCCTGATATACATCCGCCATAACAGCACGTATTTCAATGCTTCAAGGTGGAATTGGTTAGGGCATTGTCAGTGGTCTCGGCACCGGATGTTGGGAAGTCTGTATTGGGGAATGTACCCAATTTGATACAGTTGGTGCTTCAAGTTCCGTGTCTCCTCCATGGTCTTCTCATTGGCTTCGAAGTTGTGGGGCTAAGTAGAGCGTCCGCCCGGAGAGCGGAAGGTCGCGGGTTCGATCCCCGACCGCGTCATACCAAAAGACGTTAAAATATGGTACGTACTTGTTGGTTCCTGCCTGGCGCTCGGCAATAATGCGTACAACAATTACTGGTCGGCTCAGAGTCAGTATAATGTGTCTGGTGGGGTATTCATGCTTCACTGCGGCATGGTATCTCAGTGGGCTAGCACTATAAAACCAGGTTAAATCTGGGCTAGTACAAGCAGCCGCACGAATCCACACATGACGCATGCACGTCGTCATATGAGCGAAATATTCTCAAGCACGACGTTGTTGCTGGAATTTCACCTCAGCTCACCTTAGAAGTTGTGGTGTGCAAATTTTCAAACTTTAGTAACAATTACTTGTATTTCGTGAGTGCGAAGTTTCAATAAGTTCTTGTACCATTGTCAAGCAGGAATGATACATAAAGAGGAGGAGATGTATATCTACTGAATTCAACAAAGAAAGCAACATAATTAACATGACTGGCTAAGCAGTAAACTGACAAAGCCGGTGGGTTAACAAAGGGAAAGGCGTGGAAGCCAGAGATGTACAAACCAAGAGGGTAATTTACTGGTCCTTTTATGATCCTTGGCCCTTTCACTTCATCGCTGGTCGTGTTTTACCAAATATTCTGTGTATGATTTATCATATGTCCACATAAAATGCAGCGACTAGAAATAGATAACTGTCGAAACATCGTAAAACGAGACCCGTGAAGATCCGGGTTATAATTGGTCTTCAGCAACCCATGCTTGTCGTACAGGATCTGGTGGTCAGGCTCGTTGACTTGGTTGACACATGTCATTCTATCCCAAGTGTCTAGATCGATGCTCATGCTGTTGATCACTGGATTGTCTGGTCCAGACCGCCGCCATATAGCTGGAATATTGCTGAGTGCGGCGTAAGAGCAAGCTCACTCACTCGTAAAACGAACTTCACTTCTGGATGTTTGGGCTCAAAGTCATTTTGCTTCCCTCAGTCCCTGTGCATAACGTGAATGTCGGCTACAGAGAAATACACTCTCTCTCTGTGAACTGACTAGTTTACTTTACATATGTCTAATTTACATAATCTGGTATATCTCATGCCAGCAACCCGACTCAAGAACTAAGCATTTATCGTTGAGAAGTGTTTTAGCAGTGCCCGAAGAAGAGAGTTGCTTCCATGTATTGTTAAAAGGAGGCTTGTTTTCAGAAACGCTGCGTGTAAGATGGAATTATTATATCTCCTTCAGACCTACACCTTATACCCGATCGTATTCCAAGAGTCAAGGTCAAGGTCAAAGGGTTCATTCACAACGCAACAAATGTTTTCACCACACGGATTTATGGACTGTGTGGAGGCGTGAAACAAAGATAGTTGGGATGTGGACGTGGGAGAGATTTAATCTTTAACAAGAAAACATGTAAACATGTAAATATCAGAACACGGTAGATGTATACAGCTGTTGACCCGTTTACCGCTTTGATGAAATCCAAAACGGAAATATTGTATTTATGTATCAAGGTTTGTCAGTTTGGTAAACAGTAAATGAGTGAGTGAGTGAATGAAACCCACGGGTGCAGACAAACATAAGCGGGGAAAACCGAGCTTCGAACCCAATCACGGCGTTTCAAGGCGTGCCCAGGGGAGGTAACTCAGACAGCGAATTGCGGTGCCTCGGCAACCGAAGCCCACGTATACGCCAAGGAATGAAATCCGGTATTTAGAGCAAATCTCCGTGTAGCCTTAAGGCACCAGGATAAAGAAATGGAAGCCCAGGTACTTAGCAGTGAGATAACTAAATCTAAATCGGCCATCGTCGATAAGAACATACTATCTGAACCATGTAACGACGATGACCTATACATGCAAGGTCAAGGTGTATGGGTTAGTGAGTTACTAGGTTAGTAGGATAGTGGTCTAGTCTTTAATGCATACCGTCCTGTGTTCGATTCCCTACGGTGGTACCAAGCGTAATGTTGTTGATATGCTAAAAGCGGCATTAACCACACCCACTCACTCACTCAATATTAGTGTGTGTTTGTTATCCTGTGTTGAAAGGACAACATTAAATACTCTGAATTCATATCCTGTGTACTGTCAGTATGTCGTATGCAAATAAACAGCATTCCTCTAAACGAACATTCGACCCTTCATTAATTGCAGGCTCCTGCAAACAAGCTTTTGTTTCAGGTGACAGGCTCATTATCCAAAGCCTGGTGACACACGTGCCTAATTGTTGGCAGACAATCAAAACAGTCATGCACCAAACATACAGGGCTCATCCGGGATTCGAACCCGGGACCTCTCGCACCCAAAGCGAGAATCATACCTCTAGACCAAAGAGCCAAAGAAGATAAAACATCTTTCGATTACAATCTTATTTCAACCTCTCGTTATATGGAACCAATCAAATGAACGGAAAATATCCGCCTTGGATTATCAAAAGGTTGGGCTCGTCGGGGATTCAAACCCGGGACCTTTACTACGGACATAACGAATGCGTCAAGAGTTCGTGATAACCGACTTTATTATGCGTCACACAGCCATAATGAGCAGATCACACATTCTCCAGAGAGGAGCTCAACACAACAAAATTGGTGGTTCGAGACTAAATATTTAATCGGGGAATTTCATTGCACAGTTTAACGCCATAACCTTCGCCAGACATGTTAGATATGTACATTTTCCCATGTAAATAAATTAGGATGTATATACACTGAGCTGTATCAAGTTACACATAGATCACATCATAGAGGCGCAAGTCTCACAACCTGAGGGCCGAAAGACGGCGTTGCTGATTGGTTGAACAGAGCAGCATTGCCTGTGTCACGAAATGCCATTGGTTTCACAATTTCAGTCCAAGACATGACCTTCTCAGGGACATTGCACAGAAGCGGGCCGCGGAGTGGAGTTAATCTTTGCTCTTGGGACAGAGCTTTTGATAATGTTTAGATGAAGGTAACGTCTTTGGTTGGCCTTATATAACAGACCAACGTGGAAGTCATGAGAATTGTGAGACGTAGTTTGGAGAGTGTTTTTATTGTGCGTTTATTTGTCTGGGTAGGGTCCGGCCATAACTCTCGAGATGAAGTCCTCGTACTTGACGTTGCCCTCCAGATCCTCTCTCAAGTCTGTGCACCTGATGATTTCATCAACGTCGTTGTCTGACAATCTGTCTCCCAGAGATGTCAGAACGTGCCTCAACTCAGCAGATGAGATGAAGCCCTGACCCTCTCTGTCGAATGTCTTGAAAGCCTCCATGAAGTCGGCGTAGGTGCCTGTGTCCTTGATCTGCATGACGGTCTGGTAGATGGGCAGGAACTCCTCCAGTTTGTAGTTCTTCTCTCCGAACTTTTGAACACCTCCGTTCTTCATGATGGTGCTCATTGTGGGGTTGAGGCCCAGACAGTACAACATGTCGCCGGTCTTGGCAGCGTCGACGGCGCCATCACGACCATCCCAGAAATCGAAAAGGTCGAAGACCTCTGTGACCTCCTCAATTTCGTCTCGTGATAATTCGGGCTGAAAACAATGGTAGAATATTAGATATATGAAGACACAGAAAATATTTTCGATTTCGACACTATCAACACTGCTGCCCTCGATTATCTGTTATTGCACAAATACACCGAGATCCCCTTGTAACAGAAGACCCACGAAAACGAGTTGCCATATTGGTTTTGATTAGTAACCAAAGAATCATGTTAAGGATCCTCTTGTTTGAAGAAAAGACTCGAGAAAATTACCAAGAAATTGTTTCATTTAAAATAACGATTAATCAATCTTTAGTCAGTACTTAAAAAGGCCACAGGCCTGTAGTACATTTAAAGTTTACATGAGTAGATAGAAGTCATTTACAAATTCTTTTCCATAACAATCCTTTTTCTTAAAGTTAAACTCCTAGCGAAACAGATGTACATTGCCAGATGTTGTAATAATGAGTGGTAGTCTCTGTTACCACTGAAATTAACTTTCTCACACTTGGATGCTTATAATAGGATGGCTTTAGGTATTTCGTTCGTAGAGTCGTATAAACAGTATTCATATTACATAATTGACATATTCTATTTAAAATATAAAAGAAATATTGTGTGTGTAAACTATCCATATGTCTGTAATGAAAGGCATTAGCAGAAAGCTATCACGTTTGTTTTGTTTGCCAACAGAACTGGTTCTAACAACGCCTATTGATATTCATGATTAACACTGAAACAACGCAGCCTATCTTAGTAAAGCGCTTACACAAGATAGTTCGCCACTGTTTAATAACTATATGAGAGCAGGTGCTTTTTTCATTCCCAAACTCACAACCATAGTATCATTCTAACCTCCTGCAACTCCGTTGCCATGGTAACACTTTCTTGTAACGAGCTACTAAAGGAGGCAAACTTGGTAAAAAGCAAGCTCTGGGAAAGTCTGGCAGTGAACCCACGCACGACAGGCGGCGCTGTTGTTACCTCTGACAGGCAGCGTTTAGTCGTTGTTGCAGCGGTACCCACCACACGTTAGTTACTGTGTCGGGGGAAGGCAAGCTGTAATTAGAACCATGTGCCCGCTACGGCACTGAGGATACCTGGCATGCCGGGGAAATTGAACCCCTCGAGGAGACAAACACGATACCTGTACATGGGATGATGTTTGGATGCATGTATACCTCGAGAATTCAAAACGCCTATCGACTTCCACCACGCATTAAGATTACACATACATGGCGTGTTTACATACACGTACATGGCGTGTTTACATACACGTACTTGGTAGTTTAGATCAACATTGTTTCTTTTTTGTTAACGTCGCACTCAAACGAAATTCTAGCAATTCTAAATAATCGTATCTGGACAAGACAATACAGTGACAGCCAAAAAGCAATCACGTCAGTGACTACCCGATCCCGTTATTCGCTTAATCCGACAAGCATTGGTTGGTGAAAATCAGTTCAAACTTAGATCTTCACGGATGTGTTTACATTGAGAGCCTTTTAGGTTTGCCAATGACATCGTAAGGTCTTTGTTTTAAGAGTGTTGGGATTAACGCCGCTTTAAAAACTGTTTGGCATGTTACGGCGTAATGTGGTTGGAACGTTATGCAGGTTATTACGTTAAGGTACTGACGTATCATAGAGACAGACCAAGGACCATCGGATCCTGGTGTGACAAAAGGGCGATAACCACACGGCCACCCATGTCTGTGATACGACGAACAGTTGACGTGTGCATGTGTGTTATGTGTTGTATCAAACGTTGCAGCAAGAACAACGTCGACAAGGTTAAACGTTGATGACTGCTCTGACCTTACGTTGTCTTGCAACGGGGTTACCGTCAGCACAATGGTACCATTGCGATTGGCCTACCTCAAGAGAACGACCCCCTTTTCGTCTGACGTTACCGGAGCATTCCACCTTAACGACCATCGATACCATGACAACACTGTCTCCCTAACGGACATCGTCACCTTCAAAGTGCTATCTCCCTAACGACCATCGTTACCTTCAGGACACTACTCCCTAACGACCATCCTTACCTTCAAAGTACTATCTGCTTAACGACCTTCGTTACGACGCTGTCTCTTGTCACAGCACTATCTCCCTAACGACCATCGTTACCTTCAAAGCACTATCTCCCTAACGACCATCGTTACCTTCAGAGCACTGTCTCCCTAACAACCACCATCGTTACCTTCAAAGCTACTGACCATCTACCCTAACGACCATCGTACCTTACCTCCTAACGACCATTCACTGTCTCCCCTAAGCACTACTCTCTCCTAACGACCATCGTTACCTTCAAAGCACTATCTCCCTAACGACCATCGTTACCCTCATAGTACTATCTCCCTAACGACCATCGTTACCTTCAGGACACTATCTCCCTAACGACCATCGTTACCTTCAAAGTACTATCTCCCTAACGACCATCGTTACCTGCAGGACACTATCTCCCTAGATAGTGTCTAACAACCATCGTTACCTTCGTAGTACTATCTCCCTAACGACCATCATTACTATCACATCACTATCTCCCTAACGTACCCGAGAAGATCCGGGTTAGAATTGATCTTCAGTAACCCATGCTTGTCGTAAGTGGCGACTAACGGGATCGGGTGGTCAGGCTCGCTGACGTGGTTGATACATGTCATCGGTTCCCAGTTGCGTAGATCGATGCTCATGCTGTTGATCACTGGATTGTCTGGTCAAGAGTCGATTATTTACAGACCGCCACCATATAGCTGGAATATTGCTGAGTGTGGCCTAACGACCTTCGTTACCTTCGGTGCAATATCTCCCTAACGACCATCGTTACTTTCATAATACTATCTCCCTAACGACCTTCGTTACCTTCGGTGCAATATCTCCCTAACGACCATCGTTACTTTCATAATATTATCTCCCTAAAGACCACCGTTACCGTCAGGGGAATATCTCACAGATCGTAAAGACAAAGATTGAAGAGCACCACACGCCTTTAAAAAACTGACAAATGTTATTTTAACAGTATTCCTGTATGTTGTTACACCACTCGCCATAGCACGTAAACACAGCAACACGAGACTCATAAGGTCATAGATAATGTTTATCCTTAGACTTCATCATTATTTAGAAACGTTTATTAATGACTGAAATATCACAAAGGGAATCCCAACTGAACCAAACTCAATCATGTATAAACTTAAATTTGACTGAATAGTTAAATACTTGAACACAAACTTTCGAACAGCTGAACACCCACTTGCATATTCAACACTGAATCCATTAACCTCATTCTGGTGCTTCAGTGCATCATCATGGCGGCGAGGTGACTATTTTCTGGCGATGCATTCTAGCGTATGGATTTCAGAAACAAACTATAGCCGGTAATAAGCTAATGTGTTAGTGTGACTTGTGTGTGCCGTTGATTACTCGCGCAGCAGCACATGTTTGGAAGTGGAATGAGGGACGCGGTAACCCGATCCCCGTCCCCCCGACAACCAGTCAACTGCCAGAGAGGGAAGTAGTGCCAACGCGTAGAAATACCCACGTTCTTTGTTTAACGTTGTCTGCTCCAGGCTCATTAGAGGAAACAGTGCACCTACGCAGGCCAGCACCTTATTTATATGGCATCTGCTTACCGAACCGTTTGTAATTAACAAACTCGCAGACTCACAGAATGGTTTGATGTTATCGTTCTTGAAAGGGTTCACACATGTTGGGCACTGGAAGAGGTGAAATAGCACGGTGGTGTGCGCTACTGTAGAGTTTCATACACATATGATATACCAGCTACCGTTTGAATACAGATCAAGGTGTGATGCTGTACGTCTTGAAGATTAGCATCAGATGTGATAGTATAAGTACGTACATACATAGTTCTTCCAGTATGTTTTACCTGCTATTTAATCTTTAAAAACGGATAGGGCACTATGTAATCTATGTCACAGTCCCTGAACCACATATTTCCCCCACTGTCTATCTCCCCTGGCAATGCTAAAGCCCTAAATGAAGCAAAGCTAGATACCCTCAGGTTCTGAAATTCCCATCTCCTTTCAGTTTAAATGGGTTTCATCAAATTTATATATTCAGAGACTAAGCGTTAGTCTAGGGCACAATGTTGAAGCTCATCAAAGAGCAAGTAACCCCAGCTCACTCACTTACTCATCAAAGAGCAAGTAACCCCAGCTCACGAACGAACGTAATTCTTTATGATATACAGAACAGGCACCATTCAGTTAAATATAGCACATTTTTGCGGATGGAAAATTCATCACTTGGCTGTCTGAAAAAGGCGATAAGGCTTCGCTCTCCGACTTTTGTTGATCGGTTTTGTCGTGCATAGTGTAAGATAAGCGTGAGGTAAGGTATCAACATATGAAAGATAAGTACAGCTCCAGGGAATAGACGTACTGTCAGACTAACGCTAAACATTATAACTTTGACATAAACAAATATCTCCGTATAAACTGAACAGGAGATGGAATCTTCAGAATGAGAGAATCATGGGTTGTTGTATCACAGATGGGGTGATGGGAAGGAACAATAATATGGTTAAAGGACTGTGAGACAGGCTACTCTAGCATGTTCTGTGCGGTAAGAAGGTTCCTGAAGTAAGTTCACATTCTTGTCGTATGATGCTGCATGGTCGTTGCGACATAACGGAGAGTCGTTACAGACGTCACCGAGTCTAATATGTAATGCAATATTCCTTTATCGATGTTACGATGTCACGATCATACCTGGATCATGCCGGGATATTCCCCGTTATAACGCTGATACGCCGTGATATAACGAATATACTGTACAAAGCGTCGACTACTCACTCACTCACTCATACTTACGGTCACACTTACGCTACGCTAAGATTGCTTATTAAAAAACACCAAGCGTAAATAGTGTGTCGGCTACTTATTTTCGTAAAAACGGTAGTCATCTGGCTTCTTTGTGTAGAATTTTAGAATTTTGGAAATACAATATAGGCAAACTTTTTTATATTTCGTCAGTCCGACGTTTCGATAAAGATTCTTGTACCGTCGCCAAGCAAGAATTCATGCAACCATAGTCTTGCTTAACAATGGTACAAGAATCTGTATCGACACGTCGAAGTCGCGAAATAAAAAAAGTTTGGCAGTGTTGTAGTCGACTGAATCTATACTAATCAAAAGAAACGATAGATTATTTCATGTATCTTAGTAACAGGTAACCTGTCATAATATGACAGATTAATTATAGTAATGGGGAAAAATCGGATAGTTCTTAGCTTCTTTTGAGCAGTGCATCTTGATGGGAGAGAATTTAACCTGTAACCCAACCCGCAGCGACAAGGTATCAGAGAAATATATTATGAGCGTAAAATAGACGAGCGCGAACAACTGCTTTTGGAGATACCGGCCTCCGAAAGCGTCTATCATCTCTGTCGGCATAAACAGAACATCTTCTCCTCCAGCCGGTTTTGGCTAAACACTTTCGATCACGTGACTTGAACATGAGAGTCAGATAAAAAAACACAAGTTTAAATTCCCCAAAGAATAAAAGATAAGGTCTTATTTATACATTCTGCTGGTGAAGGGGAAATGTCGTTTACACGATCTCCTTAAATGTGTTATAACTGTTTAATGCAAATTCTCTGAAATAAACATATATGCAAATATATTCAACCACAGATCTACATAAGATTACATCTCATTAGATAAGACGTGATGTCTGTGATAAAGAGACACGCTATTACTCAGCCATAACGTTGACTTAACCAATGACCTCTAATGCCCTTGATAATCCAAATAGGGCTTAAGAAAAACCGCTAACGTTATTTAATGCTTTATGGAATGTAAAAAAGTGAAGGTATGCAAATAGTTTAAATTTTTGAATTACTTTTAAAGAAGAGAGTGCAAGATGGTGTATAACATTCGTGAAGGTAAAGAAAGGAGTACTTACCATGGTTATGTGTTGAGCAACCGACGGAGAAGTCCTGAGGCGTTGAAGGGCTGAGAGTAACTGAACGTTCTGCACGGGGACGGGCGACGCCGCTATATTTATACCACACTCTGAACGTGGCCATACTAGGGGTCCGCCATGTGCCGCGATACCTGAGACGGGGCTGCATCACCACGATGGGGGGTAGCCTGGTCACTGCCGGGGCAGGGGGGTTGTCGTGCGGGGGGGGGAGGCGTACGATGATGTGGTCAGTAAGGGTGGGAGATATTAAGTTTAGCGTTATAACGAAGGTGTATACGTAATATAAGCAACGCCGGTTGGTGGTGACAGAGATGAAGGTTCCAGATACATGACGTTATGACGGGGGTGGAGCTATTCCGGGGTGGGGGTGGGGAGAGGGGGTAAGTAAATGTGGTATCTTTTCAGTGCATTAAATTCCACTGCAACAGGAATATTTATGACGTATATTCGAGTTTTTCGTTTTGAAGGACGTGTTGTAGCAATGCGCTGCTGTGTAGTGGCGTATTGCGATTGTTCAAGACTGTATATCATATTACAAGTGTTATCTACACGTTCACCATGTTTCCCTGTAATTGCCGTGATGGTGTTTCGTGCTGAAGAAGTTGGTACTTGCTATCTCTTGGAGACAGCAGTGGCACACATATTCATCACTGTTTTTTTGAAGACTGCATGGTTGTAACAAGACCTATTATTGGAGATATGCGCAATGCTCTGACTTGGAACTATAAAAAACCATCATACGCTTTGTGTGAAGATTTGATTCTTTAAGTAGATAGCTTGTTTCTACTGTTAAGCTAACATTTGTTTCAGCTTCGTTTTGAGAGTGAGTGAGTGAGTGAGTGTAGTTTGACGCCGAAAATAGCAGTATTCGTGCAATATCACGGGACAACAGATACAGGCTTCGCACACTGATAAACGGAACCCTCTTCGGAGGGACAAACGAACGGTATAAGGACCTGTCTCTCTAGTTGCCCCTCAGCTTTGTGATATCAATGTGCATGTCAGGTTGTGCCGCTGCATACCACAACAAGATACCACTAGAAAAACACTGTTTTCCTGACATGGGTTAATTTGATCCGGTAGTCAGGCTCTTGCTGGTTACGTGCCACCGTGACCCGGGCCGTTGTTCTTGTTTTCGATCACAGGTTTGCTTGACCCAGAATACGATTACTTACAGGATAGGGTACAACTAAATACAACGGTGACTGCAGCATAAAAGAACATCTTTTCACTTGCTGGTTACTCCACATATTCTTGCATACCACCCTCTAAAATATGCAGTAACTGACTATCATAGCGTGAGCTAGTGGGTATTGTTTTATGCCGCATTCAGCAATATTCCAGCATTGTCACTGCTGGGGTCATGTCCTCCATGTGATCGGCTGATTGCTTCTGGCATCTTGGGGCGGTGGGGTAGCCTAGTGGTTAAAGCGTTCGCTCGTCACGCCTATGACCCGGCTTCGATTCCCCATGTGTGAATCCCATTTCTGGTTTCCCCCGCCGTGATATTGCTGGAATATTGCTAAAAGCGGCATAAAACTAAACTCACTCACTCAGCCAGATAAGCAACCTATCAAACTAAAGCACAAATAATAATTATAGGATGTACAAATACGCATTAAAACCACAGAAACACCACATAAAAATACCAAATGTTTAAAACTACTGCGTGAAACACCGTGTTTAGCGCGTTGCTTGAGTTTGTTTGTTTGTTTGTTTGTTTATTCAGCAATATTCCAGCGACATGGCGGCGGCGGTCTGTAAATATTCGAGTCTGGACCAGACAATCCAGTGATCAACATCACGAGCATCGATCTACGCAAATGGGATACAATGAAATGTGTCAACCAAGTCATTGAACCTGACCCGTTAGTCTCCGTTTACAACAAGCATGGGTATTGAAGACCAATTCTAACCCGGGTCTTCACGGGTACGTGGCTTGAGTGTCGAGAAACCAACTTTTGGAAATCCGTGTCGATATGTGCATATTTGAGTGAATTCAATGTAGTGGACACTTAATGACAATAAATAGTGGATAGCGGACACTCAGTATTCTAGCACTAATATGTGTAGGTAGAGTATGATATACACAGCACAAATATTATATAATTCACGAAGAACTAACATAACATCACTACATTATTTCATCTACTTTCGTTAAATTGTTATTATGAATTGTTTTACACTGGCTGCCCTGGATTGACGTCTCACCCTGGCGACTGTTAACAGAACATACTTTGGTTTCCCTCATACACGGCCGGAATTGACTAGGGAGGACACGTACTGCCAAGAAAAATTGTACACCGCAACAGAGTTGCGCCCCTTCCTGGTTTTAGGATCCGCCGATCGTATGCACTTACTCCATATTCTCTCCGACTATGATTCTTGTAGTTTTGACACCCCCATTTACACGTTGTTTGGTTCTCAAAGATGAATTCAACACTCATTCAACAAGCCTTTAGGATTGTTAGGCGGGGATAAATATGATATTTACTTCATTAACAAGGGCGGTAGAGCAGCCCGTTAGTTTAAATACGCAGCTCAACCACCTCGAAGGCCTAGGTTCGATTCCATACTATATCATAGATTATTTCAACAAATACAGGCGTATTTGAGCAAGATATGTTACTTAAGCATTTTCGTCAACAACCACTTTTCCTTACTAAGCAAAATACATCTTTATCTAAATTGTACTCATTCATAAGCCACGGTGTGTAAAACATACATTGCCAACTACTGAAAACCTCTTCATTAAATGAGGCACGTGTGAGTGCTTCAAATGTCTTCAGTAGATTCTTCAGGTTTGCAAGCATTCTGTGACTTCTGTGATAAAGAAACACATATCATGATGGATGTAAAATCTTAATGAGCATACCTACAGATAACGAACCATAACCCGGTGAAATTCAACCTTTTTGTGTGTGTTTTAAAAATGTTTTTTCCAGTTTACTCATTTTGGCCGCGCTACGCTTTGGAAGTGAGCCTTCTACGACAACCTAAAGTCTGTTTCGACAACTATTCGCTGGTCTGGCACATGTAAATTTATCTAACACAGACATGATATAAATTCAATTATACACTGCATTTATCTGTGTGATACATCAAGATGGTGATATCAATTTGACACTCAAATCATGGCAGACTTCCTACGAATTTGAGTTAAGAGGAACAGACGTTTTCCTGTTCAAAACCGTATCTTTAGAAGCGTCGACAGTGACAACTGGCAGACTAGTCTGTTTTATGCCATTCAGGAACATTCAGGTTACAACGAATCGTCAGGGTAAGATACTACACCAGGACAGCCTGTCTCAGTCTCCTCCTCGTAATATAACAGCAAGCTATATCGAACACGCTTATAACGAACAGACGGATATGACGAATTGCTTGTTTGGTTCATGCCAATTGCTCTATATCTTAGTCGAACTACGTTTATAAACGAGCTACCATAAGTGGTCCCTTTGAGTTCGTTATAACCGTATACTATATTCTGATACACTTCTGCTATAAATACCTTTTGAACCACTGACGTTTCATGGTATTTTTGATGGTATATTATATTATCGGTCATCTTTTAACCAACCAGTAATTGAAATGATGTTTCAAGTGACTTCAAACTTGTATCTGTTCATGAGTTGTGTCACATGTAACCGGAAGTTACAAGGAGCGAGATGCACATTGTTCGCTCTAGTTGAGGCAATTCATGGGTTATTCAAATTGGCATCATAGAGCAACTGCGCACTACTAATTGCGCAATTGTTTTAGTGCTATAGTTTACTTAGTTTTCATGCGTATCGGGGGCTGTGGGGCAGCCTAGTGGTTAAAGCGTTCGCTCGTCACTCCGATGACCCGGGTTCGATTCCCTACATGGATACAATGTTTGAAGCCCATTTCTGGCGCCCCCCGCCGTGATGTTGCTGGGATATTGCTGGAATATTGCTAAAGGCGGAGTACAACCATCCTCGCACTCGCACACATTCATGCGTATCTGTAGGCATCTTAATGTGTATTGAATAATGGCGGTGTATTTGGGTTTTCCGCACAAACATGCTGCTTCTCTGGAGGTCTGTGAACCCAAGGTTATACACACAAAACAGCTTAAATTTTGTTACAATTTCTTGTTTCTGTCATGGAGCTTTCTTAACTACTGCAAGGTTCAAGGAATTTGTTTGTTTGTTTTTAATGCTGCACCAAGAAATATTCTAGCAGACAGTGGTCAAGTATCGACCTGACAATCCGGTGACTGACATCAGTAGCATCGATCTACTTGGATACCGTATTACGATGACCTGATTGATTCTTCGAGTCATCGAGCGTGATAACACGATGCCGTTAGTCGCGTCTTATGACGAACAAGTGTTTTATATATTGAATATCAGTTCTAAGCCAGATCTTTCACCGGCTCACTCATTTAGAAATGAATGCCCGATACCCGACATCAAGTCAGACAGACGGACAGACAGGTCAGGATCTGGGTCACTGCGCAGGTCTTTTGGTGGAACTTGTAAACGCAACGTCGAGGACAGACCAAGATATAGACTCTGAGACGCGAACCACTTCCCCTTCTCTACTTGACCACCTGTGACGTCATCACCTGTGACGTCATCAAGAACCGACCAAACTCTTCAAACTCTCAGTTCATACACCTGATAATAGTGAGTGAGTGAGTTTGGTTTTACGCCGCTATTAGCAATATCCCCGCAATATCACGGCGGAGGACACCAGAAATGGGCTTCACACATGTGGGAATCGACCTCGGTCTTCGGCGTGACGAGCGAACGCTTTAACCACTAGGCTACCCCAACGTCCTTACACCTGATAATAAACATGTTGATCTGTATATGATGAGTTCTACTTTATCATATTAAGCTGTCGTTTGTGCTTTGGTTATGTTCCTCTGTATATTCATCCAGAGCTTGTAGAGCTCCCGGACCTTGACGAGGCATGTAGGTATATGTACACCGAGTACACAAAATTGTCATAAACGAAACCAGAATCCAAAGAAAACATTACAAGCCCAGTTCCGATATTAAAAACAGCAATTATGGGAAAATGCATTTAGCACTTAACGATTGGCGCCGTGTGTTTGGATATGCGGTCTGTTTCAATACCGCCATGACAATCTCCCACAGCTCCGCACAGT